CACTGTAAGGTGGTAGTTATGTGTCAGGGGTGGCCTTTACTTGTCATTAGATCTGGAATCACAGAATTAAGAAGGGTGTAATTGGTTTTTAGTCTCTATTTCTTTCTTTCTGTTCTTTTTTTTTTCATTTTTAAGTGCTGCTCTTTTGCCCGATGATCAATTCCTTAGAGTATGGATTCCTTGAAAAGAAACTCAACTTCTTCTACTCGTTCATCCCTTCCTTTATGAATGCAGTCCTTGCTGTCTTCTAGGTGCTGGAGATAAGAACACAAAAATCAGAGACTGTCCTAGGGGTCCAGGCTTCTAATCAAGCAGGAAAGAGAAGCTCTCAACACACCATTGCACAGGACCTTATCTCTGGCCATGGTGTGGGATATGTTCTATGAAAGTCCTTTGAGAATGAATGAATAATGAGGTGTGTGTGTGTGTGTGTGTGTGTGTGTGTGTACACGAGAGAGTGTATGTGCATGTACACACACATATAGGCAAACAGTACCTGGGAAGTCTCTCTTGAAGTAGAAGGTTTGATTCAGACACATGAAGGATGAGTAGATGTTTTTGCCACATGACAAAGGGAAAGTTGAAAGCAGAAGTATGTAGACAGGCCTTCCAGAGAAAGAAGGAGTCTATCTTTTTAGAACACACACACACACACACACACACACTGGTGTTGGGAACCAAACCCAGATCTTCTGAAAGAACAGCAAGTGCCATTAACCTCTGAACCATCTCTTCTGCCAGAAAATTAAGCTATATAACCACGTCTTATTTCTTAAGAAAAGAAAAAGAAAAGGGAAACAAACGAGAAAATGTGATCAATTATTGATTTTGAGCAATAAAACTGATGCTAGTTATAATTTCACATCTTTTGGTTTACTGTATTTTTTTCTAAGGAAAGGGAAGTAGGAAGACACGCAAGAGATTGGCGGTATGTCACAGAAGTCAGGGGCAGAAAGTGCTTCACAAGAGGAGAAATAACTGTGCTCACTTTGCTGAGAACTCACACAAAATGAAAACCTTAAAATACACACTGCACTGGATGCAACTGAAGAAGTCAGGAAAAGCCTTGTTGATGGGTTCTTAGGAACAGACACCAAAGGAACAAATGAGCAGGTAGACAAGGTGAGCAATTGTTGACCATCTTGGTTTTGGAGGACAGGAAAACACGGTGGCCTTAAAGGAGTGCTTGGTTGAAGACAATGTTGCTTAAATATCGAGAGAAACACTTGCCCACATAAGAGGAGACACTTGAGAAATGAGGACAGAAGCAAACATATCTCAATATGTTGCACAATAGTAGGCCAGCCACATTCAACCTGGAATTCTAGGCCTATACCAGACTGAGTTCTGAAGGTCTGGAGGATTCCTGGAGAGCTTCTGGTCCTCTATCCATGTGGGAAGGCTGGGGATGCTGGGATCAGTGTTACTGAAGGATGGCAGCAGCAACAACAGCAAACAAATGCACTTACCATCAATAAGCAAAGACAGGCAGGCAAACAACGCTGTTTTCTCCTCAGAGCTGTTCATATATGGGTCAACTGTAGGGAGGCACCCTCACAGACCTGCCTAAAGGCCTGTCTCTTAATTCTAGGTTCCATCCTATTGACAGTCAAGGTTAATCATTATAATTATAAGACAGCTGTCCAGTGCAAGAAGAGAGAAGGCTGATGAGTGTCGAGTAGGTGTTGACTGAGCAGCCAAGGAACTGGAGAGAGGAGGTGAGAGGGAGAGAGGGAGAGAGTGAGAGAGAGAAGGGAGTAGAGAGAGTGTGCTGGAGAAAGCAATGTTTCAGAACATACCCAGGATGCATTGTGACTGTGGTTCTGTGAAGCTGCAATAGAATCACCTGGGAAGGTTCCACAAATACCCATGCCCAGGGCCCATCTTCCACATCAGTTGCATCCTTTAAGATACTCCCTGGCAGTTCTAATAGCAATTGGATTTTGAAACCACTGATTCAAATAGAAAAAGAGTTTGAGTAAGATGCATGAAACACAGACAAGTTTCTGGTTGTCAGTGAGATCCCACTGCAGGCTCTCCAGGGGCCCTCGGGATTTCATATTCACAGGGAACTAATCACAATGCCAGCATACCTTTCCCCAAGGCTATTTATTTATTTGTCCTGGAACTTGCTTTGTAGACTAGACTGGCTTTGAACTCAACAGAGACCCAACCGCCTTTGCCTCCTGAGTGCTGGGACTAAAGGTGTGTGCCATCACCACCCAGTTGGCTTTTTATTTTAAAGCAGAGAGTCTCATCACATGCTGGGTGAGCTTACCCTTTCCGGTCTTATTTTATCTTCCCTCCCCACCTTTTCAGTGATTTGAGGAAAGTGGGTGCTGTCATTTGGTATCTACTGTTGTTGGGAATCATTAAAGGTAACTTCCAGCCCTGACCTAATTCTTGACACAAGGGAAGCTATCCTCTGGGCCTCCATGTGACCCCTGTAAAATGTGACCTTAGGACTGATGCAGAGGATGACAGATGCTTGTTAATGCTTACCAGGAAGTGAGTGTCCTAGATTCTCCATCCATTCACACTGGTCAATCCCCAACATCCCCGGGAAGTGAGTAAGTTATGAAGCTCAGGGACAGGTAGGTCACCTGCAGCTCCAGAAAGATAAGGGATTCATCAAGTTGACCAGCTAATGTGTTGCCTAACCCCAGGTGGCTTCCTGAAACACTCTGCAACCATGCCACTAAACTACAAAGCCAGCTAAGTTTTCAAGTTCTAACCTTCTGTGATTCTTCACTCTCACTGACTAGCAGGGTAAATTGCAGACTGTAAGAGCTTTGGAGGGGCAGCGATTTTGCTGAAAAGTTAAATCAGGCGTTTGGGAGAGCCTGAGGCTGCGAGGAGGGTAATGGCATTATGAGGTATCTAGTGGTTGACTTTTCTTCCTGGTTCCTGGAGCAGCTTTTCTCTGGCAGGTATAAAAGTAGTAGCATGTGTTCAGGACAGCGGGCGCCTAATTGGATACTGAGATTTTAGGGTCTAATAATTGCCAGAAAGATTTCTGGGTGGTATTTCTTTACCGTCAAAAGTAAATTCAAATTCTTTCCCTCTTGTATCCCACACTTTTAAATTAGGTAAATTTAATCTCCCTCTTCGTGGCTCAGTGATACTACAAGTTAAACATGCAAGTATTAATATTGAAAATAATTACCCCTTAAACAATATCTTGAAACGCGATGTGGGGCACTTGCAATATATCCATAAAGCAAACAAGACAGCTTAATTGTTTGTTTCTCCAAGGGAAGGAGCTAAACCGGAATTAATTTGGTGCAGTCTGTGAAACAATTCGTTTGCTCTGCCTAATTCTGCCAATTAAAGAACTTTTCCCAGACATAATTAGCATGTAAATCAGCGGTGGGGAGCGAAGTGGGAGCCTTGGCGACCCGCGCGGTGTGAAGATGCCGGACGACGGACCGACTGCCACTGATTCTGCCCATCGCCCGCCTAAATACGTGTGTTAGAGAAGTCTCCGCCGTGGGAGCCTGTCCCACCAAGCCCCGGGGTGAGGAGGGCGACATTGGGAGGCAGCCCCCACCCAAGCCTTGGGAGCCGGGGCGAGCCGGCCACCACCTCCCGTGCACAATCTTCTTCCAGAGTCGCGCCCAGGGCCGCGGGCGCTGCGCGCGCACCTAGGGCCGCGCCCCCAACCACCCGGGATCTGTATTGACTTTTGCTGGTCTAGGAAGGGTGGGGATAGCGGCCCCTGCTGGTAATTGTGGAGAACAGCAAACCTGATTTTGCCCTTTAATCTTTCTTCCCACCCTTTCCCCAGGTGGTTTTGTTAGTGAAGGGGGAAAAAAAGCCCGAGGGCGGGGGAGATGTGGAGGACACTGTCACGCATTCTTTTTTTTTTTTTCTTTCCAGAGCACCTACAAGCAGACTTTTGCACATGCTGGACAGGGAACGCGGATTTAAGTGGCACTAGCCCCGAATTGGGGAACAGGTACAATTTCTAATCTGAAGCTACTCGGCCAACCTGGGGTCTGAGACTCCGAACCTCCTTCCTACTTGCTTTTCTCTGCTGACCTAACGTGCAGTAGAAATTGCTCCGGGAACTGCCTGACCACCCAGCGTTACTTTCTTTGAAGGCTGCGGCCTCGGTGGGTACCATCTGCGAGACCTACTCTGTGAGCAGCAGCCCAGGCGCGCAGTTGCTTGCGGGGAGCAGCCGGCGCGGCTGCGAGAGCGCCGCGGCTGGGGGAGGGGACCGTGGGGTGGCCCGACCAGTTGGCACAAGCCTGTAAACTGCAAGACTTCTTTGCTATTGTGAGTCCAAGCAGCGGAGAGAGGCCGTGCCTGCCATTCTTCATGCTCTCATAACAATAGAGCCTTGGAAATAGTTGCGATCTCCCTTTTCCAAGAAGCTGCCGGATCCCCTTTGGTCTAATTCAAGTCTTATTTCTAAAGTTTACTCATTTCTAAGAACGATGCTCACCGCGGACTTTGAAACTAAGACGTTTCCAAACCGATCGCGGTCGTTAACCACGTTCTCAGCACCCGTAGTTTATATGTTTATTTAACGTGTGCTGTAAACGAGTGCGTGCGAGAAGCTAATTTTAACCAAACGGTCTTGTATCCAATTCACCTGGGCAGGAAGAGGGTCCATCACTTCCAGAATCTACCTCCTGATACGGTAATCAGAAATAGAAAGGTTCGCCGTCCCTTTAAAACTTTTCCATATAAGAAAATCGATGGACAAACTCTTTCTTGTAACTCCCTCCTCACTGTCTATTTTTATTTATTTTTCTGCTTTGGCAGGACTCAGCAGTGCTGTTTGGGATTTCTTTTTTCTCTCCCCCCTCCCTTTTTTTCCCTTCTCTTCCTAGAGCAGATGTGGGGGTGGGGAGAAGAGGGCTGAGGGCTGGGCTTCTGGAGTCGCCCCCGCCGGGACCTCCCGGGTGCGCGCCCCGGGGCGGGGAATAGAGGTAGTTAGAAGCGGTGCTGGAGACTCAGTCCTAAGACTCTACCTGCAGCCACGCGGCGTCAGGTCTCTCCTTCCTTTGGCTGACTCGCACTGTCTCCATCCCTCTCCCCCTCCCTCGCGCACACACCACAGCTCTCCTTCGGGTCGGAGACGCCAGCCCGGGGAGGAGGGGTTGCTGGAGGAGAGTCCGCTCTGCGTAATCCAGTCCGGGACTTGGCTCCGCCCGGAGCGTCGGCCTCTCCGGTGACACTGGAGTAGTGAGCCGCTCGGGGTGAGGCTGCAGCCAACTCCGCTCCCCACGCACTCGGCTGCCTAGGCGCTCGGGACGCAGCACAGGCGCTTCTCCGCGGTGCCGACTGCCCGAGATGCCCGCCTAGGAGCGTGCGGCCGCGGCCAGCGTCGCCACACCCGGGACACTGAGCTCGGGGTTGCAGAGCCGGCCAGAGCCCTGCGACTCTGCCTGAACCCCCACCCCGCCCCCCGCCCTGAAATGACTAGTTAATGGGCGCTGGCACCATTGAGGGGGCTCAGAAGTGAATCCAAGTGGAATCTGGATTTGGAAAAGAGTTTCTTGAACATTTACCTTGGTTCTCGCTGGTTTTTCCTGTTTTTCCCCCCTTTTTCTTTTCTTTTTCCTTTAAAAAAATTTTTTTGCCTTCCCCTCCCGTCCTCTTCTGTCATTGGAGATGAACACAGCTCGCTTGCATCCCAGAAAGTAATCGCCGTGACTGTTGCCCCCAAAGAGACAAGCACACATGTAGGAATGACAAAGGCTTGCGAAGGAAAGAGCGCAGCTCAAGGCCCAGAGAGATCTTCTCGATAATGGATTACTAAATGGGATACACGCCGTGCCAGTCCGCTCCGAGCCGCGGCCGCCTGCCCGTCGATGCACCGAAAAGGTATGGCCCTAGCGTCCCTGAGCGCCCCACCTCCTGGATCCAGGCTGGGGAGAGGGCCCCGGGGTTACTCCAGGTGCGTGTTATGGGCTTTGTAGAGCCTGTGTTGTATTTGGTCTTATGTCTCTGTCTCCCGAGCGTTGTTCCTTCCTGGGGGAGTAGCCCCGAGCCCTGCCTGCAGCTCTTTTCAGTCCCGAGCCCCAGAGACTCCGGGCTCCATGTCAGGAGCTTCCCCACCCGATCGCGCACACGACCGGCGCCGCCCCGGACCTAGACCGAGCGGATGGCTGTCCTGTCCAGCGGTGTGTGTGTGTGTGTGTGTGTGTGTGTGTGTGTGTGTGTAAGATCCGAGGCTAAGAGCTCACTCTTGGGCCAGTGGAGGAGAGCGGCCCTGGAGGGTGGGATTTTCAAAAGCGCCGGGTCCTGGTGTCGAATGCTGGGGAAGGGGAAAGGGTTCTGCCCTCGAGGGCCAGAGAGGCTTGGGGACTACAAGGCTGTTTGTTTCCAGCCACAGGTTTAGGCTCTGGTGTGGGAGAAATGGTTGTGCGGGGCCGGTGGAGAAGAGATGAGGATCTTTTGTTATCAGTGCGGGGTCTGGGCTGGGCTCCGCGGAGTGCGTGAAACTTGTAATGGCCCTGAGCATCTGCGCGCCCTCTCTCTTGGTGGGATCCACTCTCCAGTCGCCGCTGGCACCAGAGAGAGGTTCCTGGCTTTGTTAGTTGGAGTAAGTGCCTAGGAGCGGTCCGTGTCTTGGTATGGCGCGGCGCCCCCGCCCTAGGTCCTGTCCCCTGTCTCAGCTCCCACCCGAAAGAACAGGGCACCATTTGTCGTAGCTGCGTCTCTGTCAAGCACTGAGCTCTCCACGCTAGGACTGGCCCCTGCTGCGCCTTCCTCCAAGACCTGTGCTGTCCCTCTCGAGAAAAGATGTACCCCGGGAGAGAGAAGGGTGGGGAGACCTGGCAAGAAATAGCTCTGGGCTTGCCACTCTGATGAAAGCTCTGCCTGGCTGCAGATGGTTGGGTGTCCTGTCTGCTCGTTGTGTCCTGGAGCTGTCTCTGGAGCTGTGGGGTGCCCGAAGCAAGCACCCCTGCTAGTGACCCTACTGGGTGGGCACGTCACTTTCCCCCATCGCCTCGTTTTTCTCAGCTCCCCACGGAGGGAGACGGTATAGAGCAGGATCCTGAGCAGTCAGGCTGCTCTCCCGATCCTGCGTGTGTCAGGGATGGAAACCGGACCCCGACATTTTTCCCGCTCGCTCGCCGCCCCTTTCCCAGCTCCTCCTCCCCTTTACAGTGCAGGGCCCCCGTGCCCGGCGCTTCTGGAAAGTTTCTGTGATAGCTAAAGACTGCTGGAACCACCAGATGAGGACTCAAGAGTGTTCAGTCTGGCCCCGAGCTAATTGAGCGGACAACTGGGATGTGACTAGGAGCTAGATTGCCTGTCCCTTGGAGAGCAGCACCTTCTCTGGCCCGCAGCACTTGCTGTACTAGGGTCTCAAGCAGCTGGAGAAGGCCTGGGGAGCCGGGATTGGGACTGTTGAATTCGGGATGCTAATGTGATCACAAGTGGAGGACAGAAGCTGCTTCTAGGGCACGTGTGGACACTGGCTCTGGCTCGCTGGCTCAGGAGTCTTTAGCTCCAAGCGCAGCATCCCGACCCTCCTGCGCCAGTGGCAAGGCATTGCAGCTCGCACATGCCCAGGGAGGAGAGGAGCAGGGCCAGGTGTCGGTGGAGCGGAGGAGAGAGGAACGATTGGAGGCGCTGTCCTCCTTGCCTGAGCGAGCTTTTCCAGCGGCGGCCTCCAGGCTGTGGGGAAGTAGGCAGTCCTGCCGGCAGTTCCGCCTCAGTCTGTGGCTGCCTTCTCGAGAGTGCGGTGACAAGCACAGCCACAGAGGGATCTCTCCCTATTTACTCTGGATGAAATTCGAGTTACTACTGAATGGGATCCTTGAAAGACTTAAAATGCAGGCGAACGTGGACACACACACACACACACACACACACACACACACACACACACACACACTGTATTCATAACTTTACCATTTAATTCAGCTGTAGTCTTTTATTGTGGGTCTCAGAAAAAGCTGTCGTTTAGTGCCAGTCTGCTCTGGTTTTCATGCTTTTCTCGGGTAGGGAGGTCGAGTATCTTTGCCTTGTTTTTCCTCAATCCTGCTGATTTAGGCTTTCCTTCCCCTGACGGACTTATATTTTGGCGTCAGATCCACCATCTGCTACCGTGATGGCAGGGGGTTAGCGGTTTTGGATACATCAATCCTTTATTTAGCTTACTCCCCCCCAAGGTAAAGTCGCCTGTGCTCAGTTTTTGACTGAAAACGCTACACATTTTTTTCCTCCTTACCCAAACAGCTACCAGAAGTCAAGATAGCAAGCATTTTGTATGGTTTATAAATTCCACATTTAGTCTTCTACAATAAACTTTTATTAAACTACTCCAGGCACCAAAGTTAATTATTAACCTAACCTTAAATACAATGGCAGATCTGTGTCTCCCCCTATTAACCTAAACTGTCTGTTAAAACGTAATTGCACTAGCTGTTTGAGTTTGGTTTGCCCATTTCTGTTTATGTAGTAGCTTCTATTTGAATCTTAGGAAACCTACACTGTCTTGTTTTTATTTTGATTTTATACATTCTTGAATGAAGGGCTTGGCAAGCCAATCTGAGTGGAAAAGAATGAGTAACAGATTTGATAGCTTGATTTTGTTAAGAGTCTTTAAACTCATCTTGACGTAAGGAAATACTGTATTTGTATTTCTTATTTGCTGTGATTGGGAGTGATGGTCTCCCTCATGTGTTATGATTTATAGCTATAACTAGAAATCCCCACATCTCCAAGAATGCATGCAGCCTGCATATATGAATTTTTCCCAGATACCCTAAATCATTACCTTTGGGATCGCCTGAAGCGTATGTATTGGACAAAACAGCTAAATTTAACTAGGGTAAGAATACGCATGACTTTGTGTGGGACACTCAAGTGAATGATGAATGAATACATAGATGAATGAACTGCTCACACATGTTCACTATTTTCTTGTCCAGCAGGCAAGTCTATCTTTCCTGTAGTGCAAACAGCCTATGCTTTCAAGTGAGTGGTTGTGACAAAGTGATAAGGGTTACCCTTTGCACACAAATACACACCCCTCAAGTTCTTTCTACGACTAGTAATGCTTTTGCTAACATTTAAAAGAGGAGAACATTTGCATTTTGAGGAGGCGTGTAACATTGCACCAGTGAAACTGAGTGTGCTAAATGAGGATGGGAAGAGTTATACAGGCTGTTACCACTGAGCAAAAATAAAGCATCCAGGTTTTCAGGACTTGCACTAAATTTGCAGTAAGCACCTATGCTTTGGAAGTGAATGGGTAATTGCACTTTCACATGAAATGGGGGAAAATACTGTTTTGCATGAAGAGGTGTGTGTCTGACGCATATTATAGTTTAGTTCTCTTCGGAGTAGTATAGAGGGGTGTTGATGGGATGGAAGGGCTTTTTAGAACTAGTTTTGCAGAGCTGGTATATTCTCCCATCTAATTTGTTTGCACAAAGGGAATCACAGAACAAGCCAAACTAATTGAAATGCCTTAATTAGGCACCTGCCATTTCCCTCCATGTAAAGTCTATCTCTGCACTGCCCCTCCCTGCCACACCCTCCTGAAGGTTAAGTCAGTTTTTTGTCCTCCTCCCAGAGTTGATGCTTTTTGACATATTTACTTAAGAGCCGTGTGCTATAGAACCTGGGCTTGTGCCAGCTGAAGGTGAAGCATGGAGCACCCTGTTGTGCCTCCCCCCTCCTCTCCCACCCCCACACCCCTCCTCCCCCTTAGGGTATCCTAGAGCCAAATAGCTCTGAGATATTTCTATCTCAGAGTCAAGGCTTTTCTCATTTGCCTTAAAACGTACTGCAACAGCAACTGAGCTATTCTCTCTGGCAACCACATGGCTGCCTCTTGGGGATATGGTAAGGTAGGGAGGGGAGGGAGGCATTTAATCCCTCTGAAATGGGCAAGTAAGATGTCATACCCACAAACCTCAAGGGAGAAGACAGCTCAGGACTACTCAGCATGGGACTATTACGTATATACACGAGGGCATCTTGCTTTGTGAAACAGATGAGCTCTCGCAGACATTTTTATTAGAATGATTGTGATTACACTCTCGCAGAGTCATACTCCACTACCAGTACACTCTGCTCATGTAGCCTCATTACCCAGCATTCTCCAAGATCAGGGTTAGTGAGTAGCCAGGCCACGCTGGGTAGGTAGCTCTTCTCAGACCTAATAGGTATCTCAAATCAAAGATGTTCCAAAGCCGTATTCTGGCTTTTTCTACCCTACATTAGTTTTCTTCATCATCTCCACCATGTTAATTCCATGAATTTCTCAGGCCCCAGATTGTAAACATTATCCTCAACTCCCGCTTCTCATCATGTGCCAGTTACAATGCTGTACTCCACCTTCAGAAGGCACAGACACTCCATCCCGGCCTGCCACCTCCCTGGCCCCGGCATAGTTCTCCTCTGCTGGGTACTGTGCATCTGCTTGTGGCTCCTGTCAACTTTTCTCAACACAGCCAGCTAAAACACAGCAATAATTGAAAGTAAACACATTCCTGTGCTAGCGCTACTAACCCATCTTCTTCTACTAAAAGCTTAAATCCTCCCTCTGGCACAAGATCTATACTCTTGTGGTCTATACCCTCTGCCTGGCTTCCACAGCTCCTTGAGGTTAGTTGCATGTGGAGGCTTGCAGTCTTAGAGGCCCTCCTTGGGGTCTTTTGCCCAGGCTTGGGGGGGGTGGGATTGGGGCAGCTCTTTCCCCAGATATCTGCATGGTTTGCTCCTCACACCCTAACAGACATTTACTCAAATACTACTTTCTCAGCAAAGGTTTTCCATACATCTGATTGACTTGACCACTGGACATGAAGAACTTCTCATGTTCTTGTAGGCCTCACTTTATTCCCTTGTTTATATTCTGT